AACCTATCGCAACCTGTGCTGGTCATTATATAAACTAGTTGGTTTTTTCATTTTATAAACAAAAAACCTATCCCACACATTTTATAAACCCACAAATTTTATACAATGCAAAATCAGCGCGCCTATGAACAATCACGGGGGATGTATATATATGATTTTGTTTGGATATCATATGATTTCATTCTGCAGTGAGCTGACGGGGCTTCTAGTGGCATTCTTGTTTTTTTAGTGGTGAGGCGGTGAGGTTGCTGTTCCTACGGCTGACATGGCAGTACAACTACAGCCAATGGAATGCTCCCCAACAGTACAACTACAGCCTGCAAGGGCAAGATAATCAACCAGAAGAGATCGGGACCCAAAGCACACATTCACCCAGACGACAAACTTCCAGTGGACGCAGTTCCCAGCCTCCGATGCTACCTTCTTGGGAAGTAAATGGATCACGAAAGGTGACCTGGTAAGCGTTACCTTGCCCTTGCTTTCGAGAGCAAGCGGGTCGGTCGAAGAGCTTCGCAGGAAGCAACCATTGAGATAGTAGGTGGTGTCTGCAACGTGCGCAGCAGTTTGCAGTATATATACGCCATACAGGATGTCAAGGACATCAACCTGATGGATGTAGCTGGCTTCAATCGGAAGTGCCTTTCGCGGTGGACCGTCGTGTCCGACTAGCTCCAACCACTCCCAGCTGGGTCACAGCGGCAGAATTTGTCTCTCCTCTTCGACGCGCCTGATGTGCATGCGGAGCAGCTTGACAAGTAGTGAGCATGGAAACAAGTCCAATCAGTAGAGGTCGTCTGTTGCGATCAGATGATCTCTGTCTTCCAACCCCGTTCTCAGAGGTGCATCAGTTCATGCACGCATGCAAGAGAGACATCAAATGGAAGGCAAAGCCAGAACAGTGCAAACTAGCACTCACCTAGCCCTTTACAGAGCGTCAAAGCCCAACAATGAGCCAGCTGCTCAAAGTCGTAAAAGATCGGAGCGGGCCGCGAGTGAACCCTCGCATAAGCGCGGAAGAGACCCATGAACCTGCCACTGCCACTGCTCACCACCCTCTTTCCTGTGACCCAGCCTTCCGTTCAACGGAGAGCGGGCGGGCGCGAGCACGGAAAGCAGTGTCCAGTGCCAAAATCACCTGTGCCTGACTTGCCACTCCAACGCTCCCCGACTGGATCCAAGCCCACAGTCGGTTTGCGTTGTTGCAATCGGCACAGATGCTTCCTCTCAAAGGCCACTTGTGGCAAACTGGGCACTCCTTGGGAGAAACGGGTTCTACCATACACCCGAGCTGATGAGCCCAATGCTACGGTGGGATAATGCATGATTCTTGGTTAGGTATTGGGGCATCAGTACATATACAGTATATATATAATGATATAGAATGGATATATTATATATGTGTATTTAACACTTAATGTTTCTATGCACCTCCAACAACCACATTTGATTGATTGAATTTCTAATCAGCTTTCCTCCGAAAAGAGCATCCCTCCTCAACTGATGAAGAAAGGCGGTTGCGGCGGAAAACATGCAATTCCAAAGTACGATTTGTATGGGATAATTTCATTATGAATGTGTAGGATTTAATCATATTTAATCAATCTATTGTCAATCTCTATGTTTATTTTCATGGGAATACCTATATAAAGGGAACCAAAAAGGGATTGTCTGAGACAACTGTTCATCACATGCTGAGGCGCTGTGAGCCGAGCAAGGCCACCAGTTGGCTGACAAAGCCTTGGCAATTCTCAAATGCTCTGACCATGTTCTCGTCCTCGCTTTCTTCTTGTCACAAACCAAGACTTGACATGATTCGAGAGGAAGAGGTAATTGATAAATGTGCAGCCTGTCAAAAGGTCTTGAAGGATTGAAGCTAGATTTCAGTAAACAGCACGACAAAACCAGATTGATCCAACACACATCTGGTTGCAGTTGCCACATAGCACCACGGTCTGCGCATGGCTGAAGACCTGGGAGGCGATGTGACTGGTGAGGCTGAGACACTGAATCAGTGAACCTGAGGTGGAAACTGTGGTGATCTGCAAGCAGCCAGGGCATTTCACATCCATGAAGAAGCTGTTCCTAAGAGCATTCAGAAACATTAGAACAGGTTCTAGAATTCTAGAACATGAACTAACAACTTGGTGCAATCACCTGGCGAAGAAAGATATCACAACAACGCGCACACACACACACACAGAAAGTCAAAAAAAAAACAGCCCACAACCACGTGCAGCCGCAACATGCTCAGCTTCTGTGTGTGAAGATTAAAATACAAGCTTGTGACCCGATTATGTTGTGTGCTCTATGGTCCGACATAAAAACGAGCGCAAGCTGGCCCGCTGTGCCTCTCCTGCCAAGTAAATCTATATTGATTGTCTTCAACAGTTGCCTGTGAAACATATTCAAGCACATTTATTGATTCATTGTCCAACAGCCTTGAAGTGCCAAAGCTTCACTTTCTGCGACGATCATATGCCTCTTTCGTGCCAAGCCGCGGCGACTGGATCATTCGCTTTAGCTTGTGCCTTGACTTCTCCTGATCGCGCCGTCGCTTGAAGCTCACTGGTTGGCACAAATTTGGATCAGTCTCAGAATACGGCATGAGTTTGAAGTCTATTTCAATTGCCTTTTGAGAAGGGTTACATGCAAACCAGGAGCATTCCGAATCTGGCAATGGCTGCCACTATTCCACACTGCTGTTCTCCTCCGCGGGATCTGGATGCAATAGGTCAATGTCCATGAGGAAAGCCGCTAGCACAATTCTTCCCTTGCGAGCGTCTTCGTCTTCGAGATCTTCCGAGAAAGGTTCCAAAAAGGAGAAAGCGGATAGGGGTGCTGATTTACCCTGACCCCCGAGGGTTGTCATTTTATGTTATAGATCTAATTTGCACCCCCCCCCACGATAAAATCCAAACCCCCAGGTAATGACAAAAGGCTTCAGATTATAGAATGACAGCTGACAGCCCCCCATGTTTGTAATCTTGACCTCACAAGACATGCTCCCAAGGTGGTCCACTATAGAATCATACACGCCAATAGCCATAGCAGGTCGCTGACGAGCTCTGATCTATGTTTCTCTATAAAATCAAGGTACCCAGCGTGACATTCCTCGATGATGAGAGCAATCAAAATCGAGTCCTCTAGTTTATGTAGAGTGACAGACCTGGAGTGTGTCAAGTTTGCATGGGATTCGATGTTCGAAGCCTACTAGGAGCAAGAAGCTACTAGGAGCAAAGGGCATTGCTACTAGGAGCAAGGATGCTACTAGGGGATCCTGGCCTTACTACTAGGAACAAAGAAGCTACTAGGAGCAAAGGATACTGAGACTATGCAGCCATCATTCGGAGTCCAACTGATCAAATGGATGAAGGGAGTCCAGTCCAAACAAACCTATTGGCATTGAAGGAAGGACAACTGGTCCCAAACATGCTTCTACTCAAGCTGCTTCATCCAGCTCCAACTCATCCTCTCGTCTCCCTTGGCCTTATTGTCTGTTCTGAGGTGCAACCGCTGGGAGCCGAGAGATTGCAAAGTTGTTTGACAGTGCAACAGATTTGCAAGGAGCTTCTTTTTCAATCTTTGAGACATACCTGAAGTATTAGATGCATGATTGATACGGTGGTCGTACCAAGCCTTTGGACTCGCGGAATCCGCGTTCACGTCAAAAGACAAAGAGACAAAGAACATGTCCCGCTCTTCAGCCGCATCTCTTTCTTTCACGCTCCAGGTCACGAGCTGGAAAACGCCTTGAAAGATTCATTCAAAGCCTTAGAAAGGAAAGGGTGACGGGTGCTTGGTGGGTGAGATTGGAGCATCTTCTAAAATCCTGGGAGGTGCTTGCACAAAGATGCACAAATACATTTTGTAGGAAGCTCATGCAATAACTTATTAATTTGCAACAGCATCATGCGACACATGGAAAGAGTGGCATGCAGAACTGTTCACTAGAAGAGAACCGCTTGCCTGAAGGGATTTTCACTGAAACGCAGTTTTACTAAATAATATGGATTGATTGCATCAAATAGAGACGAAAGAATGCTCTGCAACGTACTGTACCAGCTTGGAGTGGAATGGGATAGAGCTTGATTGATTCGGCCAAGTCCGCCACGTTGAAGATCCGATCCGCCCGAACTTGTTGTTCCGAGCTTGCCTTCGATGAACAAAACAGTCGGATAGCAGGGCTCGCAGGCTCAGCAAGACATGCTTTGCTTTTCGTAAGGTCGATACTGACTGATGCCGATCTGGGTGAGCCTCAGTCAGCACATTGGGTAAGCCACCCATTCCTGAACATAACCTGCCCACATTGGTATTCTGAACCCCCTTCATTACTTAATCTCAAGAATAGCACAACAGGTTGATATAGGTTGTAATTACATGCCAAAGGGTCATAAATCATAAAGGATCTAATCATGCAGATGTTAGCTGCACCATGATTGACATCGTTGTCAACTATTCAATCATATTCAACCCCTGAAGCGCAAACTGTGGTCCAAACCAGCAGAATGGCCTTGCGATAGTTCTTTTTGATGCTGCTGTCAGCAACTAACCTGGCAGGCAGAAGGGTCAATTTGTGACTCGATGCAAGAGTTAGACAGGCAATGCCAATGGGCCAAAGCAACGAGGACAATTCGAGGCTGAAGCGGGCTCTTTACAAACAAAACAACGAACACCCTGCTAAGCCGTTGAGTGGACACGTCCAAACTGTCTTCTTAGACAGGTCGGCTCCACTCTGATAAACTCAAAGGCTTCCAACCTGCGGACTTGTGCTGATGGGATCTGGTGCAATGGTGAGCTCCAGACAACACAAATTGCCTGCAGATGCAAAGTCATCAATATCTGGACCCAGTCAGTCGTTCGGTTCTCACTCGCTGCCCGCTGCCTGTTCCCTCCCACATCACGGTGTGCATCGTGCTCAGAAGTGTCCTCCCACATGCCACGTCTGTGACGCTTGCTATTTTGGGCCTGACTATGCCTCAATGCGCGTAGGATTCCAAAGGAAACGCGGTGTAGTGCACATGAAACACTGCAACACTGTCCTGATCTCTTTGTAGGACTGTCCGTCAGGTGTCCTGGCCTGGAAATATGCGAGACTTCTGTGAGGACATGCATGCATTCAAAATAACGAAAATAACGAAAATAAGCTCCGCTCTAGAGCTTACACGCTGAGCACTTGTTTTGTTGTGCGGAGTTATCATTCACTACGCCTCCACAACCCGCGCCTACGCAAGGCATTTGTGCTTAAAGCATCACTACGCGTGCATATGCGATGCGGTGTTTCTGCTTTTGGGATTCATTCTTCTCTGTGGGCCAATCCTTTCTATGCCAAATTAAACTGAGACAGTCAAGAAAATGAATTGAATGCGGAACCACTGCTGTTGCTACTATTGATTGCAGCTGTGCACTGAGCAACCTCAGCAACATGCCTTAAGCATCGTGTGGTCATGGTGTGGTGATGGAGAGTGATTTGGTGGTAGTGGTGGTAGTGGTGGTAATCAAATAGTTGGTGGCTGCAAGGCAAGATTTGTGAGCAAAAGAGCAGCTATGTGTGTTCAAATTGTTCAACATGGACACGGGGTTATGGCGGGGGGGGGCCTGCAAGGCAGCACGGCAGCCATCAGTTTTGGGCTGAAACAATTGAACACCTTGAAACTTTAACTGGTGTTGATCAAACAATACGATGAATGACGATGAAGACAATACAATACCGATCCAAATCAAACCCCATGTAAATAAAACAAGACACCGCAACCCAAACATCATGGACGCAAAGCGCCTACACACAACACGTTCTTCCCAAAAACCTACGCCAGCCTACACACCCAAAGCGAATTTGCCGGGGCCAACGAACCACAGGCGACCTTTCAATTACGATGCGCATTTCATTTCATTACGAGTGCATGTTTAAGTGTATCCACTTCCAGTAATCATGCAGCAGCAAGACATGCTCTTTTGACTCGTCCTTGTGACACAAACACCAGCTTGAGCACTTGCCAAAGTATGTCTTGTGCCACAGCATGAGGACCATGCCCACTCGTTCATCTCTTTGGCCAGAACATCGTTGAGTTCCGACTTTTCTTTCTTCGATTTCTCTTCCCCTTAGTGTTTTGAAATAACCGATTGCGAATAAACGCTCTCTTGGCGTGATTCCAAAAAGGATCACAGTGTATCTATGTTTGAGTCCTGATCACTGTTGTGTGTGATTGAATCGATCCCTGTGCTCCTAGTAAGAGATTCGTTGATCATCTGGGGGCACATCTGTCAGGAAGAAGCTGGGGTCAAGTTTCATCTCAATTGGAAGTTATGATTGGTTCTGAGTGGGCATTGCCAGTAATCTTAAAGTAAGTCTTGCTACAACGCAGCATAAATAGCTAATGCAATCAAAACACGATATACCGCCTCTGATAACTAAAGTTTGGTTCCACAACCAAACATAGAAAGTTGCCTTCAACCAAGAAGGAGCCCATGCTTAAAACAATATCAAACTAAAGTCTAGAGACTAATCCGTGATCCGTGCCTTCAAACTTGATGCAACCTAGTTGCTAGCTTTTTGCTCCTCGTGCCTTCAACGCTGCAGGAGCACAGCACAACAAGAGTTGTATATCTAGAATCTAGACAAAGGCTGAAAATGACGTTCAACATGTGGCAAGAGTGTCAGCTTTAGATTCCAGTTTCATATGGATGATTCGACTTGCAACACCTGCTGTGTTTGTCTGCTCCCGACACCTCTTCATCTTCTCCTCGTACTCTCTTCTTTCTCTTGCTTGCCTCTCTGCCACCTTGATAAGCCGGAGGAAATTAATGTCAAAATATATACAGTAACCCAAATAGGTGCTCCTGTAGAGTCTTTATGTTCTTGTTGACATGTAGCATCCCAGCTTTTGATGAACGCTGTCTAACATCCAAGACAGCTCCTACACTTGCTACAGTAATTAGGCTCATGTGGTTTCATTTCATGTTCTTCTTGAAGCCTCGAACAGCCGAATTGAGTCACTGATGCCAACTCGGCAGCTCATTCAGCCGTCTCAAGCGCACTGTGACTCGACCGGCAACCCTAATCAGTCCCATT